GGGGGGGGGGGGGGGGGGGGGGGGGGGGAGCTCTCGAATAATAATTCTCAATAACCAATGCTACAGTGAAACAAGGCTAAAATATCATAATATTTTTAAGAGGTGCAGCAGATTATCATAGTTATACTCAAAAAATACGTAGGGTGGAAGGCCGGGGTGGGGTGGAAGGGTGGAAGGCCTAGCATAATTGCGCCCGATATGCACCTCTCTAAAAAAGCGACGACCCTGGCTATCCCAGACAACTTAGTTCAAGCTGACATTCCCAGACGCATACATCCACAAATGCTTTTAAGCTGCAAAAACACGCGTGAGTCCGCAGGCGAACCGGCTTTCTTCCCCAGCCACTTCCTTCCTAGACACTCCAGAATCTGGTACGAGCAAGGGAATGGGGGTAGGGGTTTGGGGGAACTGGGTTGGGAAGGAGGGGAGGGGAGGCGAAAAATCTGGACCTATGAATAAAAGCAAAAGCTGAAAAACAGTGTGGTTGTTGTGGTTTCACGGGTTAAACTCAGTCTGTGTTTTTTTTAGGGGGAATATTCTTAAAAAAAATTGGAATAAAAATTATCAAAACAAGTGAGAAAAATTATAAAACTCAAACAGCGAATTTCCAAATCGACAAGTGAGGTAACTCGTCGTTGTCTATAATAACTTTTATTTATGGTAACAATGCTCAGCACACAGCAAAGACGGAAAACTAAAAAAAAAAAGTTAATGCTTTGACTTCATGGACCGAAACATTCTTTATTAGCTTTAATTTTTTAAAGAAATAACTTTCGTAAAAAATTTTCTAAAAAAATAATTTTCCTAAAGAAAATAACTTTTTTTCCTTTTATTGAGATTTTTCAATTAATTATCTTTTCCAATTCCCTACTGCTAATCGTCCTTCCTAAAAAAACTTTTTGAACAAATCCATCACTACTTTTATTATTAAGACTATCTCTTTCTAACTGCCAAATGCTGTACTTGGAAATGTGCTCTACTATACTTCGAAAAATACTTTACAGTGCAATAGGTCGAAATATACATCTCCCAAGGCAAAAAGCCAAAAGACACCTTACACTGTAATGCGCCGAAAAGTACACTGCACTGCAGTATGTAGAATATTGTCCAGAAACTATATTGTGTGACACTAAACTTTAAACGCATATAAATCAATGGTACGTAAAAAGTGCTGCACACCCCAAAACGTCAAGGAGTGGCCAACTTACGAAAAAGTGAAAAAAAAATGCTCAATAAGTCGGGAAAAGAAGTGTCCTTTATATGTAGAAAAGTGACCAAAGTCGCAAGAATGTGGTCAGGAATATAGCATAATATGTCCCGAAAAGTGCCCAGAGTGGGAGCGGGGGAGGGGGAAGGCGGCGGGAAGATACGTCAAAAACAGCAGACAGAATGAACAGCTTAATTACGTTAGTCGAATCCTGATCAAAAAATCGCCAGATAACTGAACAGTCGGAAATGTCTCCGGGATGCCTGGACTGTTGAAAAGGTCAAATGACAGACCTACTAGAAAGGTCATCAGGATGTCTGAGCTACCGAAAAAGTCGCTGTGACGCCTGGACTATCGGTTAAGAAGAGGCTAGATATTCCTGACAAGCATCGATCATCTATCACCAAAATCTTGCGGGCTGTTGTTCTACAGCATTGGTGTTGTTGAAATGTAACGGCTATTTATCACTAGGATCTACTGGACTATCAGTTATCTCTGTATAACAGAGATCCAACTCAAAACGTAAAGACTCGAACAGCAATCGAAAGCATCAAAGATCAGTTTTTTTTTGCTGCTGAAGTTCCATAGAAGATCTAGGATTTTATGTAAGCAGCCCACTAGTCTTGTAATATTTTCTGTTAACAAGGATTCAGATCGATCGCAAAAGGAAAGGCTGAGAAAGAACAGGAGGTCTGGAAAAGTAAGAGGAGTTTCAAGGACTAATGATTTCATAGTTGGCCAAATCCGTATGGAAATTTAATACCACTGTAAGCGATAACCATAATTGGAGCGTGACCATGGTTGATAGAGGGATACCGGTAACTGCGAGCGCTGCAAGTATGGGCAAAAATCCGAACACTATAAAATGCTTTTAAGAGCTTTTGAAGAAGGCCAGGAAACGGCAGGTCAAGGACATACACAGCCCCCCGCG